GCACCCGATCGTTTAGTATGTTGCTATTGCTTTCTTCATGACTTATACATGTTCCTATAACTATGAGATTATGCAACTCCCGTTTACCAGAGGAACACTTTGTGTGCTACCAAACGTCGCAACGTAACTGGGTGATTATAAAGGAGCTCTACAGGTGTCTCCAAAGGTGAATGTTGGGTTGGCGTATTTCGAGATTAGGATTTGTCACTCCGATTGTCGGAGAGGTATCTCTGGGCCCTCTCGGTAATGCACATCACAGAAGCCTTGCAAGCATTACAACTAATGAGTTAGTTGCGAGATGATGTATTACGAAACGAGTAAAGAGACTTGCCGGCAACGATATTGAACTAGGTATTGAGATACCGACGATCGAATCTCGGGCAAGTAACATATCGAAGACAAAGGGAACAACGTATGTTGTTATGCGGTCTGACCGATAAAGATCTTCGTAGACTATGTAGGAGCCAATATGAGCATCCAGGTTCCGCTATTGGTTATTGACCGGAGACGTGTCTCGGTCATGTCTACATTGTTCTCGAACCCGTAGGGTCCGCACGTTTAAGGTTTCGATGACAGTTATATTATGAGTTTATGAGTTTTGATGTATCGAAGTTAGTTCGGAGTCCCAGATGTGATCACGGACATAACGAGGAGTCTCGAAATGGTCGAGACATAAAGATTGATATATTGGACGGCTATATTCGGACACCGGAAGTGTTCCGGGTGATTTCGGAGAAAACCGGAGAGCCGGAGGGTTACCGGAACCCCCCCGGGAGAAGTAATGGGCCATATGGGCCTAAGTGGAGAGAGAGAGGGGCAGCCAAAGGTGGGCCGTGCGCCTCCTCCCCCTGGTCCGAATTGGACTAGGAGAGGGGGAGCGGCGCCCCCCTTTCCTTCTCCCTCCCCACTTCTTTCCCCCTCCTAGTAGGAGTCCTACTCCTACTAGGAGGAGGACTCCTCCTTGGCGCGCCATAGGGGTCGGCCGGCCTCCTCCCCTTGATCCTTTATATACAGGGGCAGGGGGCACCCCTAGACACACAAGTTGATCCACGTGATCATATTCTTAGCCGTGTGCGGTGCCCCCTTCCACCATAATCCTCGATAATATTGTAGCGGTGCTTAGGCGAAGCCCTGCGATGGTAGTACATCAAGATCGTCACCACGCCGTCGTGCTGATGGAACTCTTCCCCGACACTTTGCTGGATAGGAGTTCGGGGATCGTCATCGAGCTGAACGTGTGCTAAAACTCGGAGGTGCCGTAGTTTCGGTGCTTGATCGGTCGGGCCGTGAAGACGCACGACTACATCAACTGCGTTGTGCTAACGCTTCCGCTGTCGGTCTACAAGGGTACGTAGATCACACTCTCCCCTCTCGTTGCTATGCATCACCATGATCTTGCGTGTGCGTAGGAATTTTTTTGAAATTATTACGTTCCCCAACAATAATAACCTTTCTTTTTTGCAGGAAGCATGGTATGATAACTTGATGATTTGTTATAAAAGATTTCTCAAAAGTCTGATGATGCTATGAGTGTGAGGTTTAAGTTGTGCACTGTAACATTGTGCAAAATGACCCGAAAGTGCAAGAGTTCATGGCAAAGTTGAATGAAGATCAAATTGGCCTAGAAGGCATTGACTTCTCGATGGGAGATGATGGCCTGAAGTGGAGGAACAAGTGGGTGAAGATGTGGTTGAGTTCGATACACCAACAACCTGAAAGGTTGAGCAATTAGAAGATGAGGAGGACGTAGCAATATGCTACACGTTGATGCATGTATGTCTTGATGAGTTGGTAGAATTCTTACCCGTATGTGGTTTGAATTTGAATCAAATTATTGACATCTATGCTTTTGAAACATCAAGATTTGACTAAGTATGTTGTAGAAGTGAAGTTGAAATGAACTTTATCCATGCAAAATGATGAGACAAATAGCTAAATTTTTGTATTGGGAGTTGTGTTTTGGGGATGGGTTAGAAGACACTCTCCCAATACAGAAGATAGTTTTTGTCGCCTAAGTTTGTATTGTTGCTCTTAGTTAGAAGGCAACCTCCTAATACCGAAGATTTTTTGGGGAATTAAATTTTAGAGATTGTTTTTTCTTTGTAACTAAGGTTTGAGGATGGATTAGAAATGCTCTTAGTTTTGGGATAATTTTTTGGCAAGTAATGTTTGAGAATGGATTAGCTTACAATGTGCCCAGGCTTTAATAACATATTAGCTACACACAAAATTTTGGGATACAGTTCCACGCGCATCAATTATGAATAATAAAATCAAAAAGTTGCTAGAGGAAAAATCAAACAATCCATGTTTTTTAACATACATGACTGAGTGTTCTACTCACTTGTGAAGTTTCGCAAAATTACAACATAAGTGGTATTTAAGCAAAATAGACAAATCGGTGCTATAAAAAAGAACATGTTTAAAGTACCCTCTCCGTTTCTTTTTAGTTCGCATATTAGGTTTATCTCAAGTAAAAACTTCAGAAGTTTGACCAGATTTATAAAATGAACACCAACATGCACAATACCAAATCAAAACCATTATGCCCATCATGAAATATGTTTTATACTCCGTTTATTTGATATTGCAGATGTTGATAATTTTAATATAAATTTGGTCGATCTATACATTATGGACCGGTCTTCAGTCAAGGATACAACTCTATCACCACAACCCATAAACAGACCTGTACTGAGCCTAGCAAAAGCGGAGGCCATCCGATGATCCAAACCACACCCAAGTGCATGCAACCTGGGACTGATCTTCATTTCTGGACGAGGGAAGGAAAAGTTGGGTTGTATCACCAGAAGCCAGCAATGCAGACTCCAAACGGGACTTCACCTTGCTGTTTGAGGATACTCCTGGCGTCTCGGTCTGCTTGGGTCCAGTCGATCCCAGGATACGTAGGACGGTAGGAGAAGAAGAAGGCCTGCGAGATCGACATGTGTCAGGGATCCTCAATGGTTCGGATAGGAACCCCGTACCAAAACTCGCCTCACCAACCTGTGCGTGCTTCCCTTTCTGCATGCCTTCTACTATTTCCAAGCCTACTCTCGCGTATACATTCAGAGCACGCTGATGTGCCGAATTAGTAAAGGATGACAAGGATAAGACGTCGGTCTAGTTCAGTGCATGGCTGCGAATTACAAGGCCTTGTTCAGTGCATGGCTACGTACGGCTTTGTTTGGCATGGATAGGATATGAATGGCTTTGTTCAGCCACGCGGCCTGGCGATGAGTAGAGAACGGAAGCAAGTTGGGTGCGTCTCCGGTTGCAATAATACATACGTACAGGATCTCAATCTGCATTGCTGTGATGCAAATGCAATGCAACCACACTTCTGCTGGACTATGCTGATAATAGCATGGTGGTCTACTCCCTCCATCTCTTCTTAGAACAAAGTCCATTTTACTCCCCTCAACAAAGTCAATGGTTCACATAACCCCCCGAAGTCTAAAATGGTTCACTTAACCCCTTAATAAAACCAATACCGTTCAATACTCACCCAAAGTGGATTTGCCGGGTGGTTTTGCTGAGTTGACCCGGTCAAGGCTGTTTTGTTCACCGTGGAGTCTCCTCCTTCCTTGTGCAGCCTTGGGCCTCTTTGGCAGGCGATGCGCACAGCATGGCCACCGGCAGCGACAGGTGCGGGGAGCCAGGGGCCGGCGGCGGTGACCTGTACACCAGGTGGGGCTGAATAAGGAGTGCTCCGACGCCGACCTCAACGTAACGAAAGCTCGCCATGGTGGGCAGAAATCACAACCTCCTTTTTCCTTCCTCCGGTGTGCACATTAGTGATGCCTGGCTGCATAGCGTGCTCCTCTTCTTTCATTCATCGCAGCAGAACCAAAAAGAACGAGAAAGACGGGCTCGATCCGATACAGTCGTTTCCCTTTCCTTTCACGTCCAACCAACGAAATTGATCAGGCTTCTGCGTCCACAACACCCACGACTAGAACTCAGCTGCACGTCAGGTCTGATCCACTAATCACGGAGAAGTAGCACACACAAATTTGTTGGCTCATGCATGTCCTACCTTATTTGCATGCGGCTGAGAAAACACTAAGGAAAAACAACAAAGACGTGCACAGGATATGCTAACAAGGTCTGGCACGGCACCGGACACATAGCCCGCGTCGTTGGATTCTTCCTCCTGGAGGACCACGGTGCATGCGGGTTGCTGTTAGTGCACCAGCACTTCTCCGGCAACACGCTGAAGGGCTCTGAAGTGTGCATTGCTACTGACGCCGATGTGCCGTTCGTGGTCGCGCGCGCGCGCGAGAGAGAGAGAGAGAGAGAGAGAGTTTCAGAGGCAGCAGCGGCGGTGGTGGGTCAAGGAGGCAACAACGGCGGCGGCGGGTCACGGGAGCGGCGGCGGCAGTCGGTCACGAAGGCGACCGCAGCGCAGACCAAGACCCCATCTTCCCCTTTCTTCTCT